GATTGGTTGTTAGACCCTTTGCTTTTTGCTTACAAAGCAAACCACAAACAAACAGAAACACAGAAACAAAAAAAAAAACTCACCGAGAGATAGGTTGTGGTCGCTCCGCGCGGGCGGCTTTTCTCTCGGCGAGGGGCTGCCAGGTGCCGATGCCCAGCAGCGGAAGGTCCACGGGCCCGGAGACGCCCTTGATGCTCACCGCCTGGGAGAGATGTTTCTCTCGCTTTTTGAGTCGGAGAATGAATTGGGCGCATTTTAGGGGATGTTGTTGCTTTTTGAGGGAGAATTTGGCGGATTTGTTGTACCAATGGAACTGCCTTGAGAGAGAATTGGGCGGATTTTTTGGTACAAATTGATTTGTGAAATTCGCGATTCCGGATCAGGCATTTTTGGTTTTGGAGGGTGCAAATGGAACCGCCTTGAGGGAGAACTTGGGCGGATTTTTCTGTACAAATGGGCGTTGGTCGAAATTATTTTTGTGTTTTTTTGGCCTGCCGGCGCCCTTTCGCGAAACTTGCGCTTTCTTTCGCGCCCACAGTGGGGCGCACATGGTCGACAACCCTCCGTCGACAACACCACTAAAGCCATGCGGCGAAAGCCTGCTTTGGGAACCAACGACCCAGCCCGAATGTTATTTTCCAATGCCTAAAACAGGTTTTGGGGTGCCCTAGTCTGTGTATTCTCAAGGAAAGACTCATTTGAACATGTTTGGACACTTTTGGCTGGTTGCCTGCAAACCAACCCAACACCTGCCCAAATGTTATTTTCCAGGCCCAAAACAGGTTTTGGGGGTGCCCTGGTCTGCATTCTCACGGAAAAGATGGATGGATGGATGGATGGATGGATGGATGGATGGATGGATGGATGGATGGATGGATGGATGGATGGATGGATGGATGGATGGATGCGTGGGGGTGGGTCGATGGATGGATGGATGGATGGCTGGATGGATGGATGGATCGTGGGGGTGGGTGGATGGATGGATGGATGGATGGATGGATGGATGGATGGATGGATGGATGGATGGATGGATGGATGGATGGATGCGTGGGGGTGGGTGGATGGATGGATGGATGGATGGATGGATGGATGGATGGATGGATGGATGGATGGATGGATGGATGGATGGGGGGTGGGTGGGATGTATAGGTGTGTGGATGGACGGATGAGAACACAGACCAGGGCGCACCCAAAACCTGTTTTGGGCAGTGGAAAATAACATTGGGGCAGGTTTCGAGTTGGTTTGCAGGCCAACAAGCCAAAAGTGTCCAAATGAGTCTTTTGCTTGAGACTACATGCAAACCAGGGCACCCCCAAAACCTGTTTCGGGCGCTGGAAAATAACATTTGGGCAGGTGTTGGGTTGGTTTCCATCCATCCATCCATCCATCCATCCATCCCCATCCATCCATCCATCCAGCCATCGCCATCATCATCCATCCATCCAGTCATCCATCCATCCATCCAGCCATCCATCCATCCATCCATCGACCCACCCCCACGCATCCATCCATCCATCCATCCATCCATCCATCCATCCATCCATCCATCCATCCATCCATCCATCCATCCATCCGTCCGTCCGTCCGTCCGTCCGTCCGTCCGTCCGTCCGTCCGTCCATCCATCCATCCATCCATCCATCCACACATGCACACATCTTCAAGGAAAAGACTCATTTGGACACTTTCGGCGCCTTGGCCTGCAAACCAACCCAGAACCTGCCCAAATGTTATTTTCCAGTGCCGAAAACAGGTTTTGGGGGTGCCCTGGTTTGCATCTTGTGGACCAACCCCGAAACAGGCCCAAATGTTATTTGGCCTTGGCCGAAATAGCTTTTGGGCAACCCCCAGCAACGGCATACCAACATGCAGGCGCGAGGGGCACATATGGCATAAACAACAGTCCAAAAGCTATTTCTACAGCATTGAAAAAATGTTCACACCATTCAGAGTGCTAAATCAGCATCCTTTATCATCATTGTGGCCAGCCCTTTCGCCAAACCTTCCGGCGCCCACTCGCGACCTTTCGCGCGCGCAGCGCCAGAACACATGAATATGCTCCTTACTAAACTTTTACACATGGGTTTTTGACCGTCGCCGAAATGGAACTGCCTTGAGGGAGAAATTGGCGGACTTTTTGGTAGAAATGGACTTGTGAAACTTGTGATTCCGGATCATCATTCAGGCAGGTTGGGGTGATGTCGGTGTTCAGGAGAACCAGATGGATTTCGGGTTGCAGGCTTTCCTTGTTCCTTAGAAACAACCAACCGAAAGAGGGTTGCCATGGTTTCCGCCAAAAAAGACAAACCCAGGAGCACGGAGGTGAGGTTGGGGGTATCTATGCAAAAGACGGGTTCAAATCAGGCCAATCCAAACCAGCCAAGCGCAATCTGAGTCGATCAAAACGGCTCCGGCGCTTGGTTTCCTGTTGGCTGATGGGTTGGGGATGAGGATGGCGGAGATTGGCAGTTCCGGATCCTTCGGGGGTTTAATGGGAAACCGAAAGGAAACCGTTGCCTTTTCAGGGCACCTCGGACTACTAGGTTGAGCATCATCCTTGTTGGAAAACAGCTCAAAAAGTTGTTCGCTATATCTTGGAACATGGGTCTATATAATATTACAACGTGCGCACGAGGCTTAAAACCATAATGGGGTTTGAGGGGAAAGGTGGACTCTACTTGTGACATGCTTCCTTTGAAAAAAGGCTGGTTCACAAAATGCTCAGTTGTTTCCGTCGCCTTTCAACCCCCATGCGAGGCTGGTGGATAAATGAACGAAGCGCTGGCTTGTTATCCGCAAAATTGCCCAACGGTTTCCTTTTGGTATCCTTCCAAAACTAGCCCAACAGTTCTTCATGCCCTTAGAAAGCCTAGTTTTGAAGGGAGTAGGAGAAAGACCGATTCCCTTTCAACATGGTTTCCGGAAAAGCTTTTCTCTACACAATTGTTTGAAGGGAATTGACGCAGCCGTCCAACCATTTTAAGCAAAACTTAACTTGATAATTCCGCGCTTCAACCTTTGCCCAAGCGAGAGATGCACAACCTGCCCAAATGTGATCCTTTGGAGGGCTCAAGGACCGACCAACGAGGGGATTCGGGATCTGCTTGCAAGGGTCTAGGCTCCACCTTTAAAATCAACAACTGAAGGGACAAGCAAGTAAGGGAGAGCATTACGTGCTCCGTTCGGGGTAGCAACAATAACCAATATATATATATATAGTTATTATTAGTACTACTTTTAGTATTGCTACTGCCAATGCTATTGCTATTACTAGTACTTCAAGCGGCGAAATGCCTGGAACCACTGGGCTTGCACAGAACTCGGGCCCCCGCTGGCCCAGCGACTGCGGCCGCGTGCACCACGCACAAGCACCTCCGGGCACTGACTTGAAACCGAGTGTCCGGAAAGTGAAGGGCGCCTCGAGGGAAAATGAGTCACGATCAATTCGCGGTATTGAAATGGTCGAGAACCATGTAAAGAATGAAGAAGGCGGCCGCAGCTATTTATGGTTGGGATTGTCTCCCTTACTAACCTTCACTTACCCGGGTTTTGATTGTGACTCAAATGGGCGTCCCTTTTTCAGGGCGCCCGTTTTGGAGCTTGGGGGAAATCAAAGAGAAAGGTAAGAACCAGCGCGGGATCGATGTTAACACCCGAACTATGAAGGAGAAACCTCGGTCGCTTCATGTTTAGGTTTCGAAGGGTGGCACGTTTCGGAGGGGTGGCTCCCCTTCTCTTCACTCGCTCTCTTTAGAAACCACCCATGTTCCCAGGTTGGCCAATTGTTTGAAACGAAGGATTCCTGTGGAGGCATCTTCCAAAGTCTCAGCACAGCCTGATCCCCCCCCTTTCCAGGCCCTTTCCCCCACTTCCGTATGAGACGAGCCAAAACGGGAACCCGGAGCTCGGATCTGGGCAAGGACTTCCCGAAAACCCCCGGAGCTGTGCAGCTGAGGTGCAAAGCCCACCGCGACCTGAGCTATCGGAAGGCATCTGCTTCTCAACAGCTAAGACGCTGACACCAAATTACGAGTTGCCCAAAACGGGGAGCCTTTCTTCCTGTACGCTAAGGGAGCTGTGCCGCTAAGGGAGCACTGCTGTGCGTCTTTGACCAGAGGGGGAAGCCTCATTCCAGCCTCTCACCCGCTTTCGAAAGGCACTCCGTTCGCTTCGCTGGCCGCTGGCAAACCTCGGCCTAAGCCAGCCGCATCGTCCAGAAAGGTTCGCCGGAAAGAGTTCTCGTTGCTGGAGCCAAGCGGCAGCAGTTGTTGAGGCGAAACCCACACCTATACAATTTGAAAATCCTTTGTTGGAGTACGTCTTTCTTTGTCAGTTCGGAGAAGATTAGAAAAATGGAATTGGGTCTCCTAGGGCAAAATCGGGGACCGGAAAATTGGTGGTTTCCTTTTGTGTCTGGAACCAACCAACAGTGAGCTTCCAAGAAAAACACATGTCCACTTTCACGTGAAAGCATGTTACTTCCCACTTTCGTGTGAAAGGCATGCTACTTACCACCTTCGTGTGAAAAGCATGTTGCTTACCGCTTGCGTGTGAACAGCATGTTGCTTACAGTTGGGTTGAAAACCAATGGCACCAGCTTGGCTCGGAATCACAACGGACCAGCACAAAGGACCATACTAATCGGGCTTCAGGTTGGCTCAGCTCTCCCAGTCACTGGCTCTCGGGCCCTTTCCCCTGGTGTTGGCGGGGTACATCTCACATCAACTTACAGCCGTGTCACAGAACTGGGCGATGACAACTAGGTCCTCCAGTAGAGAGGTTAGAATAAGGGCACCCTTTTTTCTGTTGTCTATTTTAGTAGGGGAACCCTCCACCCAAAAAGGGTGATAAAGGACACCTAGCTGGGGGACCTAGACAACCTGACCTGCACGAGGTTGTCTCCAAAACGGACCCCCCATAACTGATGGGTGTTCTTTCGGTTCCCCTTTCAACCGCCAAAAAAGGGACCTGGGCCCCTGTCCGCCCAAACTCAAAAAATGCCTCGAAGGGGAAGACCTTGAAGATCTCCAGCTCCGCCCCCTGGATTTTTTTTTGGGCGTTGCCCTTTTGGTTGCCCTTGAAGTATCAAAACTGGGCTGCCAGTTTTCTGATCCCCCCGCTAAAAGTGACTAACCTTTAGTGGGTTAAATGGAAGGCACCACTAAAAAGCATAAAAAGCAAAAAGGCTAAGGGGATGGCTGGGAGCCAGCAGGAAAAAGGGGTCCAACAAATCCATGTTGCGAATCCGTTTCAGCGAATCGTCGTCCCCTTTTGGGGCTCCAAAAGTGAGCTGCGCAAAAAGAAGTCCTCGCCTTCTGGAACCTTGACGCCAAAATGTCGCGGCCGCCGAGAAAAAGAAGAAAAACAACGGCTCACGTGAGTTTGGGTGCAGACCGGGCGGGTTTCCGAAGCCTCCTGCCGCCGTTTGGGATGGACGTTTCTTGGGTCGAAAGGAGATGACTTCTTGAGCCCAGCTGAAGCCTGACGCACCACGGGACGGCCGTGCCCAACTTTGAGCCCCTGTGATGGCCATGGCGCTGGCGGCCATGGCATCATGGCCCTCACCAGCAAATGAGGTGGTCCCCGAACGAACTGGATTCCAGAAAGCTCCTCTTCCAATATCACCCCGCCAAAAGGAAACGCATGTCAAATTGGCCCCAATGGGTGATGTTACTAAGAAGGAAAACGTAGGGGGACCCCTGCTGCAAGAAAGTGTCGAAAGACTTGCAAGCACTTGTGCAATATTGCCTTCCAATGAAGAATGCTTCACTTGACGGGGTGGCTACAAAGCGTAAAACCTACCTCAGTTGGGTATGTTGCAAAATAGGAACCCAATGATTGTGATGCTCCTTTTGGTTTCCCTTCAAACCAACCCGCAAAAGGGGTACCCTGACATACACAAACACCCCCACACACACATCTTGACAACCATGCCACCATGTTAAGATCTAAGTCAAAGCGGAGATCGCGGAATCTCTGCCAACCCACGCGCCAACCCACTTGGCCCGAAGGAGTGCCCCGTAAACAAACCCACAGCCACCTATTTCGGGGGCTCCATGCCGGGCAAAATAGAAAGCGTGAACATGAGATAGCCCCTTGCTTTTTTGGGAATTTGGGGTCGTCCTTTGCTGCTCCCGAAAGCAACAAGACTATCAACACTAACGTTCATATCAGTATCTCAGTTACTCACCTCCTGAGTGGTTTTGGTTGGACAAAAGTGCAGACATGTTGTTCCCCGCTAGACTTATGTTCAAGAACGGGGGAAGTGAGTTTGGGAAACACACCCATTTGGATCACTGCAAAAAGGTCGCCTCCGCATCCACTGACCTGAGCGTGCAAGCGCTGCTTCCAAGGCGCGATTTCGGAAAGTCCAACACCCTTGGAGCTTATAGGTGACCTTGTGCAAAAATTAGATGGCGTTGGCACATGAGTGGAAGCCAGGCCATCTTCTTTCCAAACTGACCTCAAAAGGACCAGCTTTCGAGGAAAGCTGACTCGCCCCCCGCTGGCTCGCTTCCCCCGAATCGAATTTCCGAAGTCTCTTTATCCAGTAAGGCAACTGCTTGAAACACATAGCCCGAGCTCAAGAACCAATGTACTTTGCAGACTCAGAGAACATAGGGCAGCCGGTTTGCCCCCTAAAACATGATCCAAGCGTCCCTCGCGGGGAACTGGTGTCGTCGGTACACCCCTATTGAACACCGGCAAAAGGGAAAAAGATAGAGCTGCACTTCTCATGCATTTGGAACCGATACCCTCATGGCTGCACTGGCCCGTACTATGGACAACGCGCCTTTCATGCGCCTACGTGCCTTCTAAGGCATTCTCCCACTTTTGCAAGCACAAACTCAGAGAAACCGAGTGCGAGATGTTGAAGGCATTGGAAAGAAAGATCAATGTGGGTGTGTCTTTTTTAGGGACCCCCGCCCCAAAATGATGGTTTTCCTTTTGGTTTCCCTTTAAAGTCACCTAAAAGAAGTGCCCCAAACAAAAATGAACCCCTCCCCCCCATTTTGAGAGTTGAAATCCTTCCCTTGACCTTTGGACAACCCGATGCCACGGCTAGATGGGTACAACTTGATGAAACCATACAATATGCTAGGTCCTCCAGTAGAGAGGTTAGAATAAGTACTCACTTTTTTCTGTCGTCTATTTTAGTAGGGGAACCGAATCTCCCCAACCAAAGGGGTGAGAAGGGTGGCTGGGGGACCCAGATGGTCTGTCTTTCTTTGAGGCTGCCAGTGGTTTGGGCCCCCGGGCAGCAAATCAATGCGCGGCACTTTCCGGCCGTCCACGATGTCTTGGATCTGGCGTCCGGACGCAACATGCCGGGCTCGGGGTTGGTCTAGGTGGTGAGGTGGGTCCCGGTTCAGCTTGGGCTAAGGATGAGGTTTGCGTGAGGGTTAGTTTTGGGTTGATTTGAGGTGGGTTTAGGTGGAGGTGGCCTGGGGGCGATGATTGAGGATTCAGTTTCGGCTGCGGATGGGTGACGGATGAGTTTTGGGCCGGTTGAAGGATGGGATTTGAGGTGGTCAAGGGTGAGTTTAGGTTGAGGGTGAGTCTGTTTTCAAAATGGCTGCTTGCGGGTTGGAGGGGTTTTGTGTTGCAGTTCTCAGATTCCACGAAGAAAGAGACCGACCTCCCAAAATAAGTTTCACATGTACTGAGTTGGACTGACGTAGCCAAGAAATGGCTGCTCCGCATAGTAATATGGAACACACCAAGGCCTCCTTAGAGGAAGCTCCAGGGGAACCTCTTGGGTGTTCATGTTAACTTTCAGAGTGAATGCCATTGGAATTGAGAAGTGTGTTTCTCAGGGTAATCCTCTGATCATCTTGCCAGAATGCGTTCAAGAGGCTTTTCAGCTTTGAGACAAGCCCACAACTCATCAACTAGAAGCAGGAATCCCTTCCCTTACAGTGTATATGTTCGTAGGGGAAATCAGAACATGCAGTGGATCGTCCACAGAACAACAAAGGGCTTTGTGATAGGATGACTTACGGGAACAAAAAGACCACCCTGTTGAATTCTGTCCGAAATCCATCAGTTTGTTGGATTGTTCTTTTGTGATAAAGATATTTCTCTACTGGATAAAGAGGTCCACCCCCCTCCAACGAAAAAACAGCTGAGTCGCAATCAAAACCTGGTACTAAAACGGTCTACCCAGAACCATGTACAGCATTACGAAGGCGGATATCCGCGGCTATTTATGGTTGGGATCGTCCCTTACTAATCTTCAATCTACCGGGTTTTGATTGTGCAGGGATCCTTACATTGTACACCTGAACATTGTGTAAATGGTGGTGTCCCTTTATTTTGGTGTTGAAAAAGCAACATCTTTCAAATGGTTGTAACATGATTTTCTTTTAAGGAGCCCTGTGGCTCAGCCGAAGGAGAAACCTCCAGCACCTCGCGTCGGCGCCTCATCGTCCTCCAGCACCTTCACGAGGCCCTCCATCAGCAGCTGGTGCAGCGGCGCGCACCGCGCCTCTCGAGGCTCGAAAACAAATTCCGCTCATCGGGGAAGGGGGGGGGTGGACTTCAGCATGGAAACTCTAAGGGAAAATTACGGAGAGCTTTTGGGGTTTGAAGGTTTTACCCCTGCTCCTTTCGGCTCAACCGAAATGATGTCTTTGAGGCTCAGGAAACCGAACCCGTCGGGAACCCTGGCGTTGGAGTGACAGAGCAAATCCCTCCGCACCCGAGTTCGGACCAAAACTTGCCCATTGCGTTGGGCACCCCCCGGAGTTTTCTGGAAGGAAAACGAGCAAATTGGAGGCCCTTCGGTGGACGTAGTTGGTAGGAGTTGCGTCGACCATTGAGCGAAGTTGCTTCCAAATGAAAAGTCACAGCCAAATGGGAGGGCAACTGCGCAGCATTGGTTGGGTGTGTGATGTCTTGTGGGTTGGTTATGCCGGGCTTAAATGAACAAGTGTGTGTGTGTGTGCGCGCATGTTATATTGGACCCTGGAGGGAGAAATAAACAGAGTAGTGTGAGATCTATGTATTATATATATATATATATGTTCAATCTTGGGGGTAGATGTGAGACATAGCAAAACCATCGTGCTACTCGTGTGCTTCCTGTCATTCCCTTGACAGTCAAGTATGAATATTGACCTTTGCTCAAATTGACATGAGGTATAACCGCACTGCCGTGGAAGAAAGCCAAGAGAAAAACAGGGGATGGAATGTGTGTGCAGCCCAAATCGTCTCAAAAGGTTTCCAACAGACTGGGGGACCTCAAAAGGCAGCTTTGACTCGTGCTTTTCCCTTGAACAAAAAACAAAACAAAAAACGGAACAGGCTACCCTCGAATCATGTCCCCAAATCATCCGAAATCTCTCTGACGAGCTTCTGGCCAGCTCTGCGCTGGGCGCACCTTGTTTCCGCGTCTTGCACGCATCTCTTTCAAGCCTAGGTCCTCCAGTAGAGAGGTTAGAATAAGTTGGTACCTGATGTTTTTCTGTAGTCTATTTTAGTAGGGGACCCTCCCCCAAAAAAGGGGAAAAGGTTGTAAAGGGCACTACTGGGGGACCTAGAAGCCTAAGCACAAGAGCAACTGGCAGCTGGACGCTTCTCATTACCTATGGATCCCAAACGTGAGCGGCCAGTGGCTCATGTGCGTCAAACGATGGCTCCTGCAGGTCATATCTTCTGGCAAATCTCCTTGGACACCCGGTTCGCGGGTAAAAGATCGCTACGGGCACGGGAGCCGCCAGCAAACATAGGCAGATGAACACAGCACGAAAAGGCAGAGCTATCCAATCACAAACAACTCTTGAATTCACAGCGAACACATCTTTATGTAAATGGGCAGATACAAACTATGCCACATACATATATATATAATATCTTATGAATGAATGTACGTATGTATGGATGCAGAGATGGATAGCTATGGATGCATAGATGCCCTGATGTGCAGCTAAGTGTAAAGCAAACTGATGTCTGGTACACATCGAATGTGTCTTTTGCGGGTTGACTATACGTGCGCCCAGAGATGTGCTCACCAGTCCACGGGCTCGAAATTTCTCAAGAGGCAGCCGGTCATGGGCCGAGCACCGTTCCTCAGCTATCCAACTCGGATTTGTTGAGAGTTAGCAGGAAAAAAGTGCTTGTTCACCGGGCTGTCCTCAGATCTGCTAAAAGCAGATCTAACTTTTAGTGGGTTCAGTGGAAACCCCCGCCAAACCCCTAAAAACGCAAGCCACAACATCGCCAACTAGAACCCGGCTTTGCAAGGCGCGGACTTGGATTTGCCCCAGCCCCTGGGGGGGGGTCCTTTCCAGACCGGGATCATTGAGAGAAGCATGCTGCAACTAGAACCCTGGCAGTGGAGTCCATGCCCCATCCGAGCCAAGGAATGCTTCCATTGGGCTACCCACATCGTATCCCTCCGAAAAAGGGGGGAGGGAGGTCCACATCTTGAACAAAGAACCGGGAAACAAAGGGTACGCACCTGTCTAAGCCATGCAGTATGGATCAAACTGGCAATCCAAAATCAACAAATCGCCTTTGGACATATGGGTCTTCTCTCAAAATATGGGTCCTGTAAACTGGTTGGTTTTCTTCTCGTTTTGCCCATTAAACACCCAACCAGCAGATGGTCGAAGATCCATTTTGAGAAACTCCCATACCCCTAAAACATATTTTTCCGGAACAAATCCTCTGAGATGCCTGTAGAACTCGCAATTCTAAACCTTCATGGTTCCAACAAACAAGATGTTTTGGCCATGCTTGTTTCTCTGATCTGCAGTGCGTCTTAGGATTGGGGACCCCCAAATGCTTGGTTCCCTTTGGTTTCCCTTTGAACCAACCCCAAACAGGGCACCATCCAAAAAGGCACGCCCATCTACGTTGCAAAACCTTCCTAAACCACCTTCAAAAAACCAAGCTTGGCGACCCATCCACCAGTGTCGCTCGTTTTTGTCCAATCTCTCGGCTTCCACTCGAAAATTCCTATGTGATTTGTGTCAACATAGGTTTGTCTCAAATTTCGGAGGCCTCCAGGCAGGTTGGTTTGCCTTTTGGATTCCGTTTCAGACCACACAGCCGCATTCACTGAGCTCAAAAAGCTCAAATCGTGTCAAAAGACATCCTGCAATTTTCTTGCCCCAAGACATCGTTAAGCTGACGTACAGTATCAAAATGGGTGTTTTTTTTGAGGCGCTGTGCCCTTTTCAAGTTGGTGAGGGAGATTCCCGAAAAACACCAATATCAACAAACATTTTGGGGGTCCAATTGTCCAGCTTTCTGACATCAGGATTTGTCTCATGAGGGAACCCCAAATGGGTTGATGACTTTTCCATTAAAGCCGTTCCAAAACGGGGAGCATCCTCAAAAAACCCACACCAGTCGCACGGATGGGATCCCCGTCGCCTTTTCGTTGAACATCCAACCCTAAATCCTCCAGTAGAGAGGTCAGAATAAGGGCATTCAACTTTTTCTGTCTATTTTAGTAGGGTTGAACCCTCTCAACCAAAAAAGGGGGTAAGAAAGGGCACCCATCGCTGGACCTAGCACCGGACGCGGCGCAAGGTGGAGATGATGGGGTCCAGCACCCGCGCGGCGCCGTCAGCCGCGGTCAGTGGCGGGGCGCTCTGCAGGTGTGGCTCCTCGGCGTGGCGTGGCTGTCCCAAGCTTCGAGGAAGCCCTGCGGTTGAGCCAAGGACCAGGGAAACCACAAAGATGCAGCCACAATGTGCGCCACTCTTCCTGTGGTTTCACCTGCAATCTCAAGAAAGACATGTGCTCAAGGGAAACCAGCTGGACAATGTGGAGATTGGTGCACGACTTTTCCTTGTGAGCTGGCGCTTTAGGTAGGGAATGTGGGAATCCCCAGGTTCATTCCCTTCCCTACTGAGCACCAGGAAACCACGATTTTGTGGTCCAACAGAAAGACACACCAGCCATGTGGAGATAAAAGGGCACACCACTTTTGAGGTGCTTCTCCATGAACGTGTCCATGGCTGGCTGTTTTTGGCTTCGGTCTAAGCCAGTACAGTACGTGAGTGTCCTTTTTGGAGGCTCGGTACCACTCTTGAGGCTATTTTCGGACCGGGTTCCCAAAGTTTACCGTGCGGGCCTTGTGCTACCCTTTTCGGATGGTTTCAAAAAGGCAGCCAAAAGAAAGCCACACATTTTGAAGGTTCTCCGCTAAACCTGATGAGTCAAACCCTTGGCTATCAGGACCCCTCCTTGTGAACATAGTTGTTTCTTTCAGGGCAACAACTTGCCCTTGATCAATATCAACCCACTGCTCCAGCATGCAACACACCCTGTTCTTGCAAGTGTCTTTTCATGAGCTTTCGGGCCGTGTTCAAACACGTCTTGCCCGAGCCGTCAGGTTTCACGGACTAGAAGGATCGATGCCATCTGAGCGTCTGCCTCCGCTGCGGGCTCTGGCTTCCTTAGAAAGGGGAACGTCACATGAGCCGCGGTCAATGCGAAACTTACCCGGAACGAACAAGGACACAGTCGTACCCCCAGCCCCCCCGCCCCCCCCCCCCTGCCCCCGGTTCTTGCGAATGGTCTGGCATAAGGCTGAAACTTTGTGAGTCCTCAGACAAGTCGCCCATCTCACGGGCCCCATGAACGGGTCCTCCAGTAGAGAGGTTAGAATAAGGGTACCCTTCTTTTCTGTAGTCTATTTTAGTGGGGAACGCTCCCAACCAACAAAAAGTTGTGAAAAGGGCACCTAGCTGGGGGACCTAGGCGTGGGCGTATCATCCACACGTGTCTTCAAACAGTCACCCGAGAGCTGCAGCAAAGCAGCATCTTCGAGATCCAGCCGGTGTCCACGGACACCACAGCGACGCCTCTGCGCTCGCTCAAGCGGCATGGGTGGTTTCAACTCCTCCGGTGAGGGAACACTACTGAATTAAGGCAGGCAAGATGTCCATCTGGCTGTGGGTCAAAACCAATCGTACCATTTCGGGGTTTTCGGTGCACCACCCACTATTCTAGGGGTTGGATTGGCATGTCACTGGGTGTACGATTTGGATTTTGACCCATGTCCATCTCAGTGTTGAACCAGCATGATGGAAGGATCTCACAATTCACCAACCTAGCAGTCCAAAGTAAAGTGACAAGGGTCCATCACGTCTAGGTTAATCGCACAATTCCTTTCATGTGAGGAAGTCTTTGCAGGGATGACTCACGCCAAAAAAAAACAGCGGGGGAGAAGGGTGTCTTTTTTTTAGGGGACCCCAAAAATGATGGTTTCCTTTTTCATTTCCCTACCACAAAAAAGAGACACCAAAAAAAAAGAACACACCCACCTCCTTTTCTTCAGCCTTCCATGGCCTTCTTTGCTGAACTCGTCCGCCACAGAGCAGGTCAACATGTTCAGCGACGCTTTGGCCATGTTGGTGTGCGGGTGGTTAGGCCCTGGCAGCGTTCGGAGAGACTTTTGCTGAGTTCAGCATTGGCACAAGAAGAAATGTGGAAAACAGCACCTTGTCCGATTTCTGTACCGTGTCGTGT